TTACATTTTTCCAAAAATATTGTAAATCAGTTTTATAATTTTTTAATGATTTTAAACTTTGAAACAATAAATTTAAATTAATAGAAATAATATATTTCATAAAATCTTATAATCTATTTTATGAGATTTTTAATAACAAAATTAAAATTATATAGATAATTTTTGTAATATATTTTATAAAATTTTGTTAAATTAAAATTGTGAGGTACCAATTTTGATTAAAATTATGATTACAAATAAATGATGTATTCAGAATATTAAAATTTAAAATAGGTTATGTTTAGTATAATAGTATAATATGTATGTATAACTAAATAATATATTTACAAGTTTATTTATTGAAATTATTGGAAACAACAAAATTTCAATAAAAAATGCATATTTATAAAATATTATAAAATTTACATATTTGAGGTAAAATACAAAAACGTCAAACTTCTAGCAATAAAATGTACTATTTGTTCAAAAGATATTTGCCTACATTTCCATTAATTTTGCGTATTCGGAATATAAATTATAGCGCAATAAATTTTTCTTTACCAACGGATAATGTAATGAACATTTTTGATAGAAATACGAAACTACTACAAAGAGAACGTGCTGCACAAATAGCTGATGTAAAACTATACGATTATATCAAAGATGAAGTAGGTTATAGACTTGCAGATAGAATATTTGATATAAAAAGGAATTTCAAAAAAGCGCTTGATTTAGGATGTGGTCGTGGTCATGTGTCAAAATATATTTTAGCTGAACGTGTGGAAGAATTAATTTTAATTGATATGTCAACTAGCTTTATACGTCAAGCAGAAACCACTGAAGGAATTAAAGTATCACGGATAGTTATGGATGAAGAAAATTTTTCAATTGAATCAAATAGTTTAGATTTAGTAATAAGTTCATTAAGTTTGCACTGGGTGAATGATTTACCAGGTTGTTTTAAAAGTATTAATAAAAGTTTAAAAAATGATGGAGTTTTTATAGGGGCTATGTTTGGAGGAGAAACATTATATGAATTAAGGTAATTTAATAAATAAATATATTAAATATACAAGTATAACTTATTCTTTTTTTCAGAAGTTCTTTACAGCTAGCAGAATTAGAAAGAGATGGTGGAATTTCACCACATATTTCTCCATTTGCAGATGTTAAAGATATTGGAAATTTGTTAACAAGAGCTAATTTTACTATGTTAACAATCGATGTAGATGAAATTGTTATTGGATATCCAAGTATATTTGAATTAATGTGGGATTTAAAAGGTAACATTTAATATTTTTATATAATAACTTTGATTTGTTGAAATATTATTTAATTTAATAATTTTTTTAATGTTATTTTTTAATTTCATAGGTATGGCAGAAAATAATGCAATTAGAAACCGAAAATTACATTTAAATAAAGATACTGTTCTTGCTGCTGCAACAATATATAAAGAATTATATGGAAAAATTAAAGAAGATGGTACTTCATATGTACCTGCTACATTTCAAGTAATTTATTTATTAGGTTGGAAACCAGATCCATCACAACCCAAGCCTTTAAAAAGAGGTACTGGACAGATTTCTCTTAAAGATTTGTACAAACTGGATGAAATTATAAAAGAAACAAAAAAAATTAATATAGATGAAGATAAATAATTATTGTAATATATTTGTATTATATATTAAATATAAAAATTAATGTATTTATTATATAAATCTTCTTACAATTTATTAAAACAAATTAAAAAGTAATTTATTATATATTATATTAATTAACAAAATTATTAACAAATAATTCATTTATATTATATAATTTTTCTTTTTTTTATAATTTATGTTCATCAATTTTATCTTTATGAGTTATAGCACCTTTTTCTATAAGATCAGGAATTTCAACTGCTAACCATGGTCCAAGCTAAAATATATGAATTTTCTAAAAATATAATAAAAATAATGATTTAAAAATTTATTTATATATAAAAAAGACTTACACCAAGTGCCATAGCATGTGCAATACCAAATTTTGGTATATTACGTGCCCATAAAGGTTTAAAATGATCTGTTAAACAAATCTTTCCACCTCTATACATTTTTGCTGTTTTACCATCTAGTTCTGGTAAAGCAATTTCAGGTGATGTTATAGGATATGTAACAGGTATCTAAATATATAAAAAAATCACATTTTGTCAGAAAATCAAAACATTTAATTAATTTTATAAATTTAATAAATTTAGAAAAAAAATAATTACTTACATCAAATTCAATTTCAAATTCATATTTTAATAAATTATGTATGTACCAACATTTTCCAAACCATCTTGTACCTTCCTTATTTGATTCCAGGCGAAACCAATCATTGTCAGATTCTTTATTATTTTTTACATACTAAAAAAATAAATAAAAATTAATTAAAATTATTGCTAAATACACTAAAAATTTTTGTTCTTTTCAGTTATTTAATAGTTATTTAAATAATGGTAATTTTTTTTCTTTTTTAGATAAACATATGGTAGAGAATAATATTTAAAATTTAAAATTTACTTGAATTAAAGCTTGGTACTCTTCTTTCAATCTCTGCACCCATAATTCTTTATCTCTAGGGCCTGCTTTTGTTTGTAACAATGGAATATTACTTAATGTTTTCTTCGTTGATTCATCTACCATCATAAACTATTACAATTATTATACAATTAGGCAGATATATATATGATTTTTATTTTACTTCACACATAAATCTCCTCATAAACGTGTTTTAAGTTAAGTTTTGCATCTATAATCTATGTTATTGTAGAAAGTATAATCAGAATAATCGATATATCGAAATGATCCTTATATAAGTATATGCTTATTTAGAGATATTATGGAAATATTTAATTAAAAATAAATATATATTTAAAACTAATATTGCATTTCTTTTTTAAATTATAAAAACATTTCAATTTTATTATATTTAATTTCATTTTATAAAAAAAAATTTAATGATTTATTTTGAGATATAATGATCAATAAAGGTCAGTCGCATTTAGAAAGATAGTGATATTAAAGTTTTTTGTGTTGTATGCACTTCAATTTGATTTGCCTTCTGGTCTCTTAAAATCTTGTGAAAACTTGTGACATGATAATCAGAGATCAAAAAATACTGTCATTTGGAAGAAAATAATATTGATACATCATGGCTGATTCATCTTATGAAAAAGGACTCACAGAACTTTCAAAAATGAAGGTAATCTAAATGTATCATTGATATGATTCCATATTCGGGAAGCTAACCTTCAAGTTATAACAAACAAATTATAAAAAGATTTTCTTTATATTAATTTTTGTTTAAATTATTTAAAATAATTATTTTTAAATAAATTAAAAAATAATTATTATATATAATAAAAAAATATTATTATATATAAATAAATTATTTAAAATAATTATTTTTAAATTAATATTTTTATTAATATTTTAAGAATATGTATTGTGTTTATTAAACAGAAAAAATATATATAAATATTAAAATTATTGAAAAGAATTACGTATAACAATAATTAAAAATAAAACATTAT